ATATTAAAGGCCTAAGTCTACTGCATAACACAGGTTCTTCTTCATTGTTATGGGAAAAGTATTGAGATCAGTACAGTGAGATAAATACTGAGAGGCTAACCAAAAGATCAACAGTTGGAACCCACCAGCTGTTACATAGATTGAGATGAAGCATTCTACCCCCATATAGATTTGGGGCCTTGGTACCTCTATGGGGTAGTTCTACTCTATCCTATACAGTTGCTATGAGTTGGAACCGATTGGACAGCAGTATGTAAAATTAACAAATTAAGCCTTTAAAGGTACAAAACATTTCAGCTATTCCCTTGTACTCCGAAGAAGTCATAGATTTAAATGAACAAATTTAGGATTATGGGAAAACCACAATAACTGAAAATTGCCAAATTTGAGTATCACACAGTTAAGGAAATATTTAATTTCCAGATGGCATTCAGGGCATGAAAACATTAATAATCTCAAATTCTGATGAGCTTTGTCATATGGAAAAGATATTATTGTTAAGTGGGTCAACAAGTTTTCTTCAACACATAGCAACCCTCTATGTACAGGAGAACAAAACACAAGTAGACATTTTTACTTGAGACCACTGTTTCACTGCATTACTCCATCCCATTGAAGTCAGAAAATTCCATTTCTATCTATTGGTTTAAAGAAAAACCAAAGAGTATTTAATTGAAAAGAGGTTGCACTACTGAGCGCCTTTCCTGTCTTCAAAGTCCAAGCACCACAGAGGCCTCCAATCTGCCCAGATCAGATATCAAAAAGGTTAAGTGTTGTCATCTAGCTCAAAAGCCCCCTTTTGAACAGGTCATCTGCATTGCTTGTTCTGGTTCGTATGACGGCTCCAGTGCTAACCTCTGCAGTGGTGTATTCTCAGTATTAATATGGGTCTCTGAGTGCTCAGTTCTCAATCCTGCTCCAGTGTTTGCCCCTTAGGGGTTAGAGATTGTCCCTCGTGGTCTAGTTCTAGACTCTCAGATGCAGGGATGGCAGGTTCTTAGTCCTGTTCTAGTGCTGGCCCCTGAGGTGCTAGGCTTTTAGCTCTTACGCTGGCCATTGTAGGGCTGGGTTTTCACTTGATTGTTGCCGCTGCTGCCAAGCTAGCAGACAGTGAGGAAGGTGAGCCAAATACAGATTTGTTTTCTCTTTCTGTGGAAGCTCTTGGCTAGGCCATTGATAGGCCTGCAGTTCTTCTCATGACAGTTATTATGATACTTTAGATGCAGTACCAGAGAAGTAGGGAGAGGCACATTCCTGGGACAGAAAACAGTGCACACAAAGGAGTGAAAAAACGAGACTGCAGAAGCCTCAGATCTATATGCAGCTCTGAGGGATTACAGAACAAGAGTGTATGACATCGGGGGTAGCAAGAGATGGGTATGAAAAGACAGAAGTAAATAGGTAAGATCGCCATGTGCTGTACACAGGGGTCTAAAATTAGCACAGTAGGAAATGCAGAATATACTGAAGATCTCTCTAAGCAGGAGAGGAACTGGATGACATTCGTATATCCAATGAGGTGAAAAGGAGGTCATGAAATATGAGTAAAATATGCATGAAAGGTAGAAGGTTGGGAGAATAGGAGAAAACTGGCTATGCAACAAATTCTTTCTTCATTAATAATTGAAATGCATCAAATTGCATTATCACTGAGGTCTCTTTGACTGTGATCATGGTAACTGCACATGTATTAATGGAAAGTGACTAGACTTGCTTGTGTTTGTGGCTGCAGCTGCCTCAGCTCCTGCAGCTGGTGAATACTATGCCAGCCACCATAAAAGTCCATGCCTTGAGCTGCTTTCTTCTGACCCTTAAGGCTTCTAATTCCAATCTGTCTTCCCTGTGTGCTGCTGTTCAGAGGGCTCCACATTGTGCAAGGAAGCTAAATGCAAGTCTGAAACTCTGTGGTTTATAAAGGGTATATGTATATATGTATTTCTTATGATTCTTATGTTTGGTGGAGTCAGAATCGATTGATAGCTGACTCTCCAGGGGGTTTTTAGAGAAAGTAAATCACATGGGAGGAGACTGCCCAATTTTTTTCTCCCCACAGAGCACCTGGTGGATTTGAACTGAGTGCCTTTGGTTTAAAAGCACAACTCCTTACCACTATGATACTAGAGCTCCCTTATATGTACATATGTACTATATAAACCATGGTGTTCTCATAACATCAAAATCACATATGTCAGAACACACTGTGGACATTAAGTAATGCATACTTCCACTTACTTGAATGGTATTCACATTCCCCTCTTCAACCTTCCAAAGCTGCTTGCTACCTAGAGATGAAGGCCTGCCTCCACAGGTTGGCTCTTCCATAATCACCCAAGACCCACTCTATATTGGATCTGTCTTCTTTCCCCTGAGCACAATGACACAGACTCTTACATGTGTATGTTTTCTCATATGTCTGGAATTTCGTTCCATTATTACTTACTTTTTTAATCCTTAAGAATCTAGCTCCGGGGTACAACCACTATGGTAAGGCAGTCTGGCCCCTTTTCAAAATGCTGGAAATAGAAATACCATTTGACCCAGAAATTCCACTACTAGGACTATACCCTAAAGAAACCAGGGCCACCACTCAACCAGATGTATGCATACCTATCTTTATTGCTATATTATTCACCATAGCAAAGAGGTGGAAGCAACCCAAGTGCCCATCAATAAAAAGATGGATAACCCCCACCCCGCTATGGTACATAAACAGAATGGAATACTATGCAGCACTAAAAAACAGTGAACTAGTAAAACCTTACACAACATGGGAGAGCCTTGAGGACCTTATGTTAAGTGAAATATTCAGTCTCAGAAGGAAAAATACTGCGTAACACCACTGTTATAAAATAGGACAGACATGGGGGCAGGTTGGGGAGGAAATGGAGAAAGAGTGGATAGATAATGAACACTAAATTAGATCACATGAGGGGAAGAACTGTCCAAAAAGAATATATGACCATGTATTATATGTATGAGAACAATCTGGAACAGGAGAGCATTGCAAGGTGGGATGGGGGAGGGGCAGGGGAAACAGGAGGGAAGACGTGCAACAATGAGTAATTTCCCCCCCTTTTTTAAATTTAAATTTATTATTAATTTCAGTAAAAATTTACAGAGACTTTGGATTTCCATTCATTCATGGTTGCACTTTTTTCCACTCCCAACCCTCCCTTGCTAGTATACTACCCTCTTAGAAAAGTAAAAGAAAAATTCTTTCATTGTTTTACAAACCCTCCCTCAGGTCCACTCCACCGTGTAGCCTTCACTCTAGACTCCTGTCATGACAAAAATACCTAACCACATATACCTTTTAGACAGTTTTCTCCCTCATCTGTTTCAATGCAGTATACACTATTGAACCCATCTTTCTCAGTTTCTCCCCAACCCTCAAGGTCAGTCCTGCTTTACAACAGTGGCACCATGCAGTATTTGTCCTTTTGCAACTGAGATACTTCACTCAGCATAATGTCCTCCAGAATCACCCATTTTGAATAATATTGCATGAGTTCCTTGCTTTTCAATGCAGCATAGTATTCCACTGTGTGAATATACCACAGCTTCTCTATCCATTCATTTGCTGATGGGCACTTAGGTTATTTCCAACACCTTGCTATTGTGAATAAAGCCTTAATAAACATGGATGTGCATATATCTGCTTTTTTTTTAAAAAAAGAACATAATCTGAAACAAAACAACAACTAAAAAGTCTCTACCTCCAGTTTTGCTTCCACTAATTTTTCTCCAACTATTCAAATCTACACTGCTAGCTCCTTTTTTGCACTTTTTCTACCATTTACTATCAAATTTACTATCAAATGAAAATGTCTTTTGCTCTTGTTTATCTAAATGATGCTAACACAGCTAATAGAAGGGGGCAAGCTGCAACAGCATATGCCTGTGACTTGTAGTTGAATATAAAAACATCCTCTATCTTGGGAATTTTGGTCACCAAACAAAATACAAAACCATACCTTGAAATATTGAAATTGGACACTCTTATTAACATCATTGTTGAACTGTCCATTGTTTTTTGAGGTTTCAGTTGATTGAGGTTATAGCACTCCTAAAGCCAGTAGAAACAATTTTTTAAAGTGCATGTTTAAAAAAAAAACACATAGCTTTCTTAGTAGCTGAGCTGCATGTGTAGAGAAATTCTGACTACCTTTCTCCCAAAATTCCCTACAGCTGTATTCAATGCCAATAAATTAATAACTATGATGGAAACTTATGGTTCTGTTTTATTGTATTAATGTAATCTGGAAATTCAAGGTTTGCAAGTAAAGATCCTAGAAAAAGCAATCATTGTATTAACCCCTCAACTTATTCTCTATAATCCCACCATTTTGTCCTTCGAAGTCTGCAAATGTTTCATTTGTTCTTTAATTTTGTTATTTGAGTAAAAGTTTACAAATCACATTTGCAAATGTCTATAGTAAACTTCCAAAAGCTTTCATTGATCATAGGTCAGTTATCAGTTAACCTCTGCAGTATTCTCATCTTTTTACTGTGTCTCCCTTAACTTATGCTGACCAAAAGAATAATTATTGCCACCACCATGCTGTCTTGCATCTACTCTTTATATATGCTTTTATCATATAAATGCCAACTCATTGCTCTTGAGTCAGAACCAACTCATAGCTGACACTCCATTTCGTTTCCTGAAGCAACAGGAGAGGAAACTGCCCATCTTTCTCCCATGGAGCACATGGTGGATTCAAACCATCAAAGGGGTGCTGTCTTTGGGTCACCAGTGCAACTGCTCACAGACTCTGGCACCACAGATCCCCTTTATCACCTGTATGTGCTTCACAGACTGCTACTCCCTGAAGTATGTGTCTTAGTTAACAGGACCTTAGGGTTACAGAGTGCTCAGAAACAGATTTTCCAGAAGGATACAAAAAACTACATCTTCCCTGAAAACTGAATATTTCCTAAGAAGTTACAGAAACTGCATGGTTTTCAACTATCCTAATGTTTCACTAATTTTCTTTTTATAGACTTGACTCAGTTGGTCGCCTTAGAAATGGAAGGAAACAGTCTTAGTGAAACCAATGTCAATCCTTTAACTTTCAAACCTTTGAAGAGCCTAGCCTACTTGAGGCTAGGAAAAAATAAATTCAGAATCATACCACAGGGTCTTCCTGCTTCTATTGAGGTACCAATCGTTCTTCTTCTTAAGTTTTAAAAGTTTATACTTTAAATGCCATATATGACAACAAAAAAACAACATATTTTTTAAAGCTATTGTGATGCATATTGAACTATGCTAATGTATAGAGTTTGGTGATATCTAGAATTTACTATAATTTGAGCTTGTTCCCTCTTCAACTACACAAAGATATTAACAAAAATTATTGTCTGAAATTGTGTCCTCTATGATTCTTATCATTATGCAATTTTCCTACATGCTATAAATCCTAATTTTGTGAGAAAAGGATCAGCACATTGAAGAAATAGGGAAGAACAAAGAATCCAAAGATTCTGCTTATGAGATTGAAGCTGACTAATTTGTTCTGAGAACTGACTTTCTCCCCAACCCCTTCCTAAATATCCAAAGAATGTCCTGGCCAATGTCAGTTTCTTTTTTTCCCTCCTGACAAATATTCTAGAAGCTGATGTAGGACTGTATAGGTAGATCAGACTGCATATGTTGTTTTAGGGGCTAAGGGGGAGAAACTGAAAAGTGTTAACTTTCTCTAAAGTGTTGAAGTCTTTCTAATGTAGCTATTTTTCTTGTTGCATCTCTTCTACTTCAGTGCACTTGGTGTACTGGGTTAATGGCTAGTACTGTATTGGCTCTGTGAAAACATGTTTGTGAAAAGAGTATGTAGTGGCTTTCAAAACTCACTAGATGATGAATACTTGTTCACTTTTCAATCCCAGTTTCATCCCAATTTTACCAGATACTACTGTACTTGAATGGTCAATAAAACTGCACAGTGAAAGAAAAAAAATCGACAACCCACTAGCAAAACTAGCAAAGAAAAAGACACAAATAATCCAAATAAAAGATGAAATGTGCAATGTCACAGCAGAACCAACTAAAATAAAAAGTCTAGCAATGGAATATTGTGAAAAACTATGCTCAAATATGAAAATCTAGAAGAAATGGACAAATACTTAGAAATACACAACCTACCTAAACTGAGACAAACTGAAATTGAACACCTGAACAGACCCATTACAAAAGAAGACATTTAAAAGGTAATAAAACAACTTCCAGCCAAATAAAGCCCTGGACAAGATGGTTTTACCAGTGAATTTTATCAAACATTCAAAGAACTGTCACCAATTCTACATAAAACTATTTCAGAAAATAGCAAAATATGGAATTCTCCCACACTCATTCTATGAAGCAAACATATCCTTGATATTAAAGCCAGGTAAAGACACCACCTAAATTGAAAACCATAGGCCAATATTGCTCATGAAAATAGGTGCAAAAAATCCTGAATAAAATCTTGGCCAATAGAATCCAACGATACATTAAAAAAAAAAATTCACCATGACCAAGTGGGTTTCATAACAGGTATGCAAGGATGGTTCAACATAAGAAAAACAGTCAATGCAATTCATCACACTAACAAAGCAAAGAACAGGAAACCCATGATCCTATCAATTGATGCAGAAAAGGCCTTTGACAAAATCCAACATCCTTTCCTGATTAAAACACTCAACAAAATAGGAATAGATGGGAATTTCCTCAACGTAGTAAAATGTATGCACAAACACAAAAGCCAACATTGTTCTCAATGGAGAGAGACTAAAGGCATTCCCGTTGAGAACAGGAACTAGGCAAGGATGTCCACTATCACCTCTCCTGTTACATAGTGTATTGGAAGTCTTAGCGATAGCAATAAGACAAGAGAAGGAAATAAGAGGTATCCAAATTGGCAGTTTGTTGTTGTTCTTTATTGCTGTCGAGTTGAGATGGACTCATAGCAACTCTATGAATAAAAGACCTAATGCCTTTTCATAGCTATCGTTGTTTCTCCAAGTTCATAGAGCTTCCAGAGGCATGTGGTTTAGGAAGTGAATACCACTCCTGCTTCCAAACCTGTTTTACAATTGGGAGCTCTACCAAACACTGTCTACAATGGGAAACCTTTCTGGTAATTGATATCCCAATGGCACAAGGTTCAGCATCATAGCTAAACCCAGTTTACCTCATATAGCACATTAGAAAGCAGTGATGTGCAATGTAGAAGAATGTTCCCCCAGATATAACAGCACTAGTCCCATTTAGCAGTGTTTAAGTGTTGTCAAGTTGAATATGACTAAGAGTAAGCTTTGCACAAAAGACCTGAACTCTGTTCTATGACTAACATAATTTCTGTACATTTAAAAAGAGAGTTTACAGTTTCCAGAGGCACCTAGTTAAGGAAGTGGATGCCACTTCTGATTCCCAACATGAATCAATCTGGAAGCTTCTCTAACCATTGTACATAATGGATAACCATTATGGTATTTGACATGACTATGAGACAGTGTTCAACATCACAGCAACCTCAAGTTGTTCAGTACAACAAGTAGAAAAATGATTGTGTGTCTTTTAAAGAAAATTCTTCAAAAATTCATAAATTTGTGGCCTGAGGGCCCTACAGGATTTTAAATCCACAACCTCAAGCAGGGCTCCACCCTTAGTCTAAGGCTCCAGGGACACCCATTTTTGAGGGGGGGAAAAACACACTACAAAAGGGACTCCAGACACTTCCTTTACCTTACCACCATCAAGACAAACCCACCATCAAATTGTCAAATAGGAGGTAAAATTATCTCTATATGCAGATGATATGACAGTATACTTAGAAAACCCCAAAGTCTCAGTAAGAAAATTACTGGACATAGTTGACCAATTCAGCAATGTGGCAGGATACAAGATCAACATATAAAAGTCAATTGGATTTCTCTACAGTGACAAAGAGTATATAGAACTTGAGCTAAGAAAAACAATACCCATCACAATAGCTAATCACAACATTAAACACTTGGGAGTAAATCTAACTAGAAAATTAGAAGACCTATTAGAGAAAATGACAAAACATTACTACAAGAAAGAAAAAAAGGACCTGGAGAACTGGAAGAATACACCTTGCTCTTGGATAGAAAGACTCAATATTGTGAAAAATGGAAAACCAAGGGCAATTTAAATGTTCAATGCAACCTCAATTCAAATATTAATTCCATTCTTCAGTGAGAGGGTAAAGGCAATCTCCAATTTCATATGGATTGGAAAGTGGCCCCGAATAAGCAAAGCACTCCTTTAAAAGAGAAACAAGGTAGGAGGCATCTCACTCCCTGATTCAAATCCTACTACACTGCTGTGGTGGTCAAGACTGCGTGGTACTGGTATAATGACAGACACATAGATCAATGGAATAGAATTGAGAATCCAGAAATCAGCCCATCTATCTATGATCAACTGATTTTTGACAAGGAGATGAAATTTATTAAGTGGGGAAACAAATAGTGTTGGCAAAATTGGAAAACCATCTGCAGAGAACTCAAACAAGACCCACACCTCACACCATACACAAAAAAGCAACTCAAAATTGATCAAGTACCTAGGACTAAAACCAAGGACTTTAAATTTCATTAGATAAAAGATTGGAAATACCCTCGAAGCACTAATCCACAACTTGAACAGTTTTCCAAGGATTCTGCAAAACCTACAATCAGGAGAGGATAAAATAGATGAATGATACCGTTTAAGAATCAAATCCCTATGCATATCCAAAAACTTCTCCAACAGGGTCAAAAGGATATCATGTCTGATAAGGGATTAATATCTAGAATTCATAGAATACTCGAGCACCACAACAAGATAAAGGTAAACAATCCAACTGCAAAATGGACACAGGATATGAACAGACACTCATCAAAGAAGACATTCATATGGCCAACAAATACATGAAGAAATGTTCAAAATCCATTGCTCTAAGAAAGATGCAAATCAAAACAACTATGAGATAGCAGCTCACCTCAGTAACAATAGCAAAATTCAACAGAGCAGCAAACAACAAATACTGATGAGGTTGTTGAGAAACTGGAATACTTATTCACCCTTGGTGGAAGTATATAATGGTACAACCAATCTGGAAGGCAGTATGGCACTTTCTCAAAAAGTTGGAAATAGAAATACCATTTACCCAGAAATTCCACTACTGGGAATATACTCTAATAAACCAGAATTGCCACCCAAGCAGATGTGTGTGTGTGTGTGTGTTTATTGCTGCTTTGTTCACAACAGCATATAATTGGAAACAACCCAAGTTCCCCATTAACACATGGATGAATAGAGAAGCTGTGGTATATTCACACAATGGAATACTATGCTGCATTGAAAAATAAAGAACTTATGAAATATTTTACAAAATGTGTAACCATGGAGGACATCATGCTGAGTGAAATATCTCAGTCACAAAAGGACAAATACAGCATGATGCCACTCTTATAAAACAGGACTGACATCGGGGTTGGGGAGAAACTTAGAAAAGAGGTGATAAATAATGTACACTGCATTGAAACAGATGAGAGAGAGAATTGTTTAAAAGGGATATATGATTAGGTATTAGTTGCATGAGAAGAGTCCAGAACAGGAGCTGCATAGTAAAGTTGACTTTGGGGAGGAGGCAGCGAGGTGGGGGGGGAACTATATAACAATGAAATAATTTTTCTTTTCTTTTCAAAGAGAAAAGCAAACTGGGGGAGAGGAGTGGATAGGGAGGAATATGTGCAACAATGAATGAATGGAAATCCAAGTTCTCTACAAACTTTCATTAAAATCTCAGTTGAAAAAAAACAAAAACAAAAACAAAACCCAAACAGATTTGATGCACTTAACATTAATGACCAGGGGTTAATTACAAAGACAGATAGAAAGAAAACACTAAAGCAATGAACATCAGTGTTCATAAATCGTTCATGTAACAGCTCTGATTTCCACTGGATAAAACCATTTGAATGCTGGATCAATTAATTCCAAAGGCATGCAGCTTAAATCCACTAAATGCTCGGTGGGAGAAAGATGGGTAGTTTCCTTCCTACACTATTTACTGTTATTGAAAACCCACTGGAGGGTCAGCTATAAGTAAGTTCTGACTCACCAGCACAGAACAACAAAGTAATAACTAATGATCTTGGGCATTGCTCATAAGCTTGATTTTTACTAAACTCCTTAACTGTGTCATATAGTACATTTGATATTATTAATTATTTAGAAAATTTAACATTTGAAAAATAATTCACTTCAAGAAATAATAAATAAAACTTTAAATAATCATGACAATAGTTGTATGAATTAAGTCAGTCTCTGAAAATGAATATACTAACTACTACAGAAGGAAAAAAACAATAATCTTTTCTCTTAATTATAGGAATTATACCTGGAAAATAATCAAATTGAAGAAATATCTGAAATTTGCTTCAATTATACCAGAAAGATAAATGTCATTGTACTTCGTTATAACCAAATTGAAGAAAATAGAATTGCTTCTTTAGCCTGGATATACCAAGAGTAAGTATAAGGTACAATTGGACAGGGTTAGCCAAATTCTTCCTGTTGCTGATATTTAATAAATTTGAAATGGTAAATGAAGGAGGTGACAGTAATGCTCTGAGAGACAGTCTTTAATTACTTAATTCTTCCCCTTAAATTACAGCATTTAAGGAATTGTTTCAGGAGCTTCTGAAATGTTAATTATATTATTAGTGTTATGATTACTAAGTTTATTACCTTAGTTACTATTTTTGCTACTGCCTCTTTTAGTACTTGGTACTACCATAAAGCATACCAGATACTGTGCCAGCTGGAATTGAAACTTCAGCAGGCTGACCTTGAAAGTCAAACCACAGTGGTAAGATGTTACTCAAGCTTATAGAATGGACTTGGAGGAAGCTGCTCCCCATGCACTCAATCATATTAATTATCAGGTAGAATCATACAGCTTAAAATCATAAGCCTTTCTCCTAAAAGATACTGCTTGCAATCTTTCTAATTATTTATTTTAAAATTTAAAAAGTAGATTGAAGAAAGCCTGACACAACAGTGGATTTAGAAAGGAGGCTCCTTTGTTCTTTCTGGGCATCCACAGTCCTGAGCTGCAACACTCAATGAAGGGTCCATGCTTGCTAGGACAAGGAAAAGGCAATGGCAAAGTCACGTTTTAAACTCTGACTTGGACCTCATCATTACACAAGAGATTTAAGTTTTTCTCTTGTTTTCTAATATAAATCAAGGCATCTGTAGAGGCAACACTGGTGATTGGCAATATTGTTGGAACCTCACATCTCAACCTAGTAAAACACCCAAGCTTGTATTTAGAGTCCTTACAAATCAAGTGTTTTTTTAAGAAAAGGGACTAGCATAAAGACTTGCCTTGTCCAAATTGAGAGTTCCTGGCCATGTCACTATCCTCATGTTCCCTACTGACTGATTTTTCTTTACTACAGATACCTAGAATCGATTGACCTCTCCTACAACAAACTCTATCACGTCCCCTCTTATCTACCAAAGTCTTTGCTGCACCTAGTGCTAATTGGGAATCAAATTGATCGGATCCCTGGCTACGTGTTTGCTCACATGGAGCCAGGCCTGGAATACCTCTACCTATCCTTTAACAAACTTGTGGATGATGGAGTAGATGCTGTCTCTTTCCATGGGGCATACCATTCTCTGAGAGAATTATTTCTGGATCACAATGACTTCAAATCTATACCACCAGGGATACAGGAAATGAAAGCATTACATTATCTGACATTGAATAACAACAAGATAAGGTACATTTTCTCTTCTTCAACTATAAATTTAGATTAATGGGGTTAACTAAATATATGGTTAAATGATCACGATGTCTCTGTGCAACTTACTTTAAAATATTCCAACAAGACAAAAAGTAGTAAACAGTGTCATTAAGTGAGATTGAAAAATGTTAATAATGCTGAATCTGGATAACATGAAGAGTCTTTAGAATTTTTTCCATGCTTATATTTTTGTGGATGTCCATAATAACAAAGAACATAATTGTTGTTGTTGTGGATTGCTATTGAGTAAAGCACAACTCATAGTGACACTATGAGCAAAACACCTGAAGCCTTTCTATAACTATTGTTGTTTCTCAAATTTCATAGAATTGTGGATTTCCACAATAACAACATAACTATACATAATAAAAAACTCTGAGATAGGTTTAAATGACACTTTTAAACAATAAAAACATTACACTGTCACGCCTATTTATTGTTAGGTATCATGGAGTTAACTGCAACTCAAAACAACCTGATTAAGAACAGATCTTTTCCTATCTTGCACCATCCTCATTATCTCCAACATCATTAAAAGTAACTATATGTATCCATATCACGGACAGTCTTCAGTTAACATTCTACCTTTCTCAATATGATGACTTTTTCCATGGACTGGTCCCTCACGATAATGTGCCAAAGTATGTAGCTGGAATAAGCAGCATCCTGGTTGCACTTTCTCAAAGTGCAACTTTTCTCAAAGACTTGTTATTCTAGGATATTCAATACTCATAACCAACACCACAATTCAAACACATTAATTCTTCTTTGGTCTTCCTTATTCATGGTTCAACTTTCAGATGCATAGCATACAAAACAATTGAAAACCCTGTGGCTTGGATTAAGCACAGGATTAAAAGGACTTAGTCTTTAAACCGATTGTCTTTCCTCTTTAGCACTTTGGAGAGGTCCCTGACAGCAGATTTTCCTAATGCATTTTCATAATGCGTTCTGATTTCTTAACTGCTGTTACCACGGATTTTCATTGTGATTTAAAATGCAATTGTTGACAACTTTAATCTTTATGTATAAATATGTTGTCTATTGGCCCAGAGGTGAATATTTTTGCTTTTCTGATGTTGAGATGTAATCCATATTCATAACTGTACTCTTTGAGTTTCTGTAGTAAGTCTTCACTTTGTATAAACAAAATTGTGTCATATGCAGTTTGTTATGATCCACACACATCAATGAATTTTTCTCCAGGCCTGATGCCATTTTTTTTTTCATATATTCCAGCTTCTCAAATTATTTGCTCAGTATACAGATGGAACAGGTATGGAGAAACTAAAGAATCCTGACATACACATTTCCTGATTTTAAACCATATTGCCTTGTTCTATTCTCACAACTGCTTCTTGGGCTACATATAGATTTTGCATGAGCAAAAGAAAGTGTTCTTGGGTATCCATTCTTCTCAATGTTAGCTATAATTTATTATGACCCACACAGTGAAATGCTTTTGCATAGTCAAGAACCTGCTGACATCAGCAATGATATCCCTTGTTCTCTTCTCAGTCCAGCTTAAATTTCAGGTGATTTTGTGTAGATAAACAGTTTCAGGTACTTTTAAATAATCTTCAGCAAGATTTTAATTGTTGTTATATTGTTATGTGCCGTCGAGTCGTTTCCGACTCACAGCGACCCTATGCACAACAGCCCTAAACCCTGCTCTATCCTGCGCCAACCGCACTGCCGCTGACACACCCATCCTGATTACCCCAGTCACCGAATCAATCCATCTCATAGAGGGTCTTCCCCTCCTGTGCTGTCCCTCCACCCTCCCAAGCATGATGTCACTCTCCAAGGACCCGTCCCTCCTGGCAACATGTCCAAAGTATGTCAGACGAAGCCCCAGAATCCTTGCCTCCAAGGAGTAGCTTGGTTTAATCTTCCCCAAGATGAATCTGTTTGTTTTCCTGGCAGTCCATGGTACATTCAGTACCCTTCTCCAGCACCACAGCTCAAAAGCATCCACTCTCCTTCTGTCCTCCCTAGTCATTGTCCAACTCTCTGATGCATAACAAGCGATTGCAAATACCATGACCTGTATCAGGCGCATCTTAGTCTCCAGAGAGACACTGTTGCTCCTGAGTACCTTTGAGAGGTCCCTAACAGCAGACTTTCCCATCGCGATACGCTTTTTGATTTCCTGACTGCTGGTAACAAAGAGTGCTGACTGTGGAGCTGAGCAAAGTGAAGCTGTGAACACTCTCAATCTCTTCGTCATCCATCCTGACGCTGCTAATTGGTCCAGTGGCGAGAATCTTTGTCTTCTTGACATTGAGCTTTAGTCCATACTGAAGGCTGCAGTCCTTGACCCTTCGCAGCAAGTGCATGAGGTCCTCCTCCGTTTCAGCAAGCAGGGTTGTGTCATCTGCATAACGGAGACCTTCCACCAATCCTGATGCCACAATTCTCCTCATAGAGCCCAGCCTCTCGGATAATCTGCTCTGCATACATGTTGAAAAGGTATGGAGACAGGATGCATCCCTGGCGTACACCCTTCCCAATTTTGAACCATGCAGTGTTACCCTGCTCTGTTCTGACTACTGCCTCTTGGTCCAAGTATAGGTTTCGTATTAGCACAATTAAATGTTCTGGGATTCCCATTCTTCTCAGAGTCAGCCACAGTTTGTTATGATCCACACAGTCAAATGCCTTTGCATAATCAATGAAACACAGATAGACATTCTTCTGGTATTCTCTGCTTTCAGCCAAGATTCATCTAACATCAGCAACGATATCGCTAGTACCACGACCCCTTCTAAACCCAGCCTGGACTTCCGGCAGTTCTCTGCTGATGTGCTGTTCTAATCGTTTTTGGATGCTCTTCAGTAGAATCTTGCTTGCATGTGAAATCAATGACACTGTTCTGTAGTTTCCACACTCAGTTGGGTCACCTTTCTTTGGAATGGGAACAAATATAGATCTCTTCCAGTCAGTTGGCCAAGTGGTTGTTCTCCAGATTTCTTGGCACAACTTGGTGAGCACATCCAGGGCAACATCTGTTATCTGAAATACTTCCATTGGTATACCATCTATTCCTGGGGCCTTATTTTTTGCTATTTCCTTCAAAGCAGCTTGAACTTCTTCCTTCATCACCATAGGCTCTTGCTCATATGTTATTTCTTTAAATTCCTCTGTATCTGCCAATTCCTTTCTATATAATGACTCAGTATATTCCTTCCATCTTCTTTTAATACTTCCTGGATCATTTAATATTCTGCCCAAAGCATCCTTGATTACAGCAACTCTAGGTTTGAATCTGTTCTTCAGTTCCTTGAGCTTAAGAAATGCTGAGTGAGTTCGGCCCTTTTGATTTTCTGACTCTAGCTCCTCGCACATTTCATTGTAGTATTTTGCTTTGTCATTCCGAGCAGCCTTTTGGAATCTTCTGTTCAGCTCTTTAGTATCTTGAATTCTTCCTTGTGCTTTGGCTTCTCTACGCTCCAGTATTACATGCGATATTAACGATATTAATATAAGTCCAGGAGAATAAAAATACAACTATAAGTCAATCCCAACTGAACTAAAAAAATTATGTTGTTATTGTTATGTGCCATCGAGTCATCTGCGACTCAAAGCGATCCTATGTACAAGAGCCATAAACGCCGCTCTATCCTGGGCCAGCCGTATCAAACACACTTGTTCCCACCAGTCCACTTACAGAATCGATCCATCTCATCAAGGGTCTTCCTCTCCTGCGCTGTTCCTCCACTCTCGGAAACATGATGTCCCTCTCCAAGGACCAGTCCCTCCTTACAACAAACCCAAAGTATGTTACATGAAGCTTCAGAATCCTTGACTCCAAGGAGCATTCCAGCTTCACCCTCTCCAGGACAAACCTGTTTGTTCTCCTAGCAGTCCATGGTATATTCGACGCTCTTCTCTAGCATCACAACTCAGTGACATCAATTCTCTTTCTATCATCCCTAGTCACTGTACAACTCTCCAATGCATAGCACATAATTGTGAAGACTATAGCCGAATCAGGCAGACCTTAGTCTCAAGCCTGACATAGTTGCTCTTTAGTACTCTTGAGAGGTCCCTCACAGCTGACTTTCCCAATGCAATTTGTCTCTTTATTTCCTGGCTGCTGTTACCAAGAGTGTTGACTCTGGAACCAAGTAAACTAAAACTGTTAAGTATCTCAATCTCTTCACCATCCATACTGATGCTGCCAATTGGCCCAGTGGTGAGAATATTTGTTTTCTTGATGTTGAGCTTCAATCTGTATTAAAGGCTGCAGTCCCTGACCTTCTGCCGCAAGCACTTCACGTTCTCCTCAGTTTCAGCAAAGCAGGGTTGTGTCATCTGCATAACGCAGGTTGTTGATGACTCTTCCACCAATCCTGATGCCAGAGTCTGGATGATCTGTTCTGCATATAGATGGAAAAGATATGGAGACAAACTAAATCCCTGATGGACCCCCTTCTTGATTTTGAACTACGTAGTGTCTCCTTGCTCTGTTCTGACAACTGCCTCTTGGTCTAAGTATAGGTTTCACATAAGCACATACCTACAAAAATTATAAATCAAGAATATGTTTGATGCATTGGATATTAATGACTGAAGACCAGGAAATCTGTGGGATGACATTAAGGACATCATCAATGAAGAAAGTAAAAGGTCATTACAAAGACAAGAAAAAAAAAGACCAAAATAAATGTCAGAGGAGACTCTGAAACTTAAACTAAAATGTAAATTTGAAAAAAATTTCAGAACAAAGGGAAATAGGCTGAAATGAAAGAGCCAAACAGAAGATAACAAAGGGAACCTGAGAAAACAAAGTAAAACATTATAAGAAAATGTGCAAAGAGCTGGAGATATAAAATAAAAAAGAGATGCTTGGCATGTATCAGGATGAAAGAACTGAAGAATAAATTAACCCTCAATTTGCAATAGTGAAGGATTCTCTAGGTATAATCTTGAATGATGCAGGAAGTAACAAAAGAAGATGGAAAGAATACACA